AATGTTTGTTGGTTTCTTTTGTATTGTTTGTAATGTTTGTATGACTATTTTGTATATATTGTAATTTGTAACTTTTGTTATTCAAGTTTGTATACTTTTATGTTATGATTTGTATACTTTGTATTCATTTGTTTGTAATACAAGTTTACCAATCTGTATTGTAAGTAGTGATATTCTGTACGTGTAGTATGCTTTGTACTGTTTGTCGGTTTCTTTTGTAATGTTTGTTGGTTTCTTTTGTATTGTTTGTAATGTTTGTTTGTAATGTTTGTTATTTTGTAATGTTTGTAACTTTTGTATTGTTTGTAATGTTTGTATGACTATTTTGTATATATTGTAATTTGTAACTTTTGTTATTCAAGTTTGTATACTTTTATGTTATGATTTGTATACTTGTATTCATTTGTTTGTAATACAAGTTTACCAATCTGTATTGTAAGTAGTGATATTCTGTACGTGTAGTATGCTTTGTACTGTTTGTCGGTTTCTTTTGTAATGTTTGTTGGTTTCTTTTGTATTGTTTGTAATGTTTGTTATTTTTGTCCGCATGTTTGTCATTTTTGTCAACCATGTTTGTAATGTTTTTTGCATCACAAATCTATACATATAAAGTATACAAATTATTAGTACTTACAATACAAAGCGACGTGATTTGCAGCACAAATCAATACATATAAAGTATACAAATTAATATTACAAAACATACAAACTATACAAACCATACTGACATTTTGTACAAAAATACTAACAATACAAACTAATGTTACAAAACATACAAACTATACAAACCATACTGACATTTTGTACAAAAATACTAACAATACAAACTAATGTTACAAAACATACAAACTATACAAATCATTGTTCTTCCTTCAGACGATGTCTCTCCACCGTCGCCGCCGCTGCCGCCGACTCTCTCTACAGTTGTCGTTACCTCTTTCTCTCCATCACCGCGTCGCTTCTCTCTCGTCCATCATCGTCGAAGCTCTATCCGCCACTGCCTCTCTCTCTCCGCCATCGCCTCTCTCACTCCATCGTCATCGAGATCTACTTTCTCTCTCTCCAATGCTACCGCCTCCGTCGCGACGCCTTTTCCTCTCTCTATCAACGCCGTCGAGATCTTCTTTCTCTCTCCATCGTCGCCGTCGGCCCTTCTCCTCCATCGGCGTTGCGATCTCTTTCTTGCTCCGCCATGGCTCTCTCTCTCTCTGGACATCGCAGCAAAAAAGGGAAGAGGAGGAGACGGTTGCAGAAGTGAGAAAAATCAATAATAATTAATAAAATAAAACTGGAAAATAGGAGTTAATAATTTAAAAATCAATTAATGAAATTTTTTAATGCCAGAATTGCCCCTCCCAGTATTTAAAAATCCCTTCCCTAATATTCACCGTTAGATTGATCCTTCTACATCCAATGGCTAGGAGGGGCTTAGCCAAGTGACTAAGCACCCCCCCTTAGTCACCAGATCCGCTCTCTTCCCATAAGGTCACCCATCCTTGTTGTACTCCATATTGAGCGCGTTTAATTTCGAAGTTCTCACAAGAACTCCTCCATTACACCCCAAAATGCGTCTTGTCAGTTAAGGTCGGATTCTTACTTATGAAACATGGATCTCTCATGTGCTTTGTCGATGTGGGATTTGCCTAAGGTGTTACACACACTTTTTTTCGTCAATTTGATGTTAAATCCTCGTTAACGTGCATGAGAAATTACCAAAATGCCTTTTATTTAACTTAACCGATGAAACCCTTTTCCCCTAGAAAAAATATAGATGGGGAATTATTATCCTACATAATTCCCATTATAATAGATCGAAATGCTGCTCTCTGAAACAAAAACCCCTAACATCCTGTTGGCGACACCCTTGACTCTAACAGAGCGTTTGCCAAACACGTATTCACAATTACCACTGCCTTCGAATCTACCCACTTCTATGCTACGTCTAATAGACTTCCCATTCCTGAACTACGTATTAGCTCTCGCTGGAAGAAACACATGAAACACCAATCAAGCTCCACCATGAACTTTTGTCGCCGAGCACGATCTAGAGGCCGACTGTTTCGATGAAGAACTAGATATTAAGATGTCTGCAAAGTTTAAGGAGATGTGTGCCTTATATTGAAGAGAACTCTTGTTATAAGACTTCTTGAAAAATTAGTGTCTTACTCTTATTTGTGCTCCCAACTTCGTTGGAAACGACAACCGTTGGGATCGCTGAATATAATGGATCTCAACAATGAGATTTTTTGGTGAATTTTAGTAATGACCAAGACTATTTATGCGCTCTCACTTTTGGTTCATAGGTAATGTTCGACCACTATTTGATCTTTCACCAGTGGACACATACCTTCCGCACTTGAAACAAGCCTTACCGATCTGTGGTTGCTCGGTTCAATTACCAGAACTCCTTGTTCAGTTTTATAATCTAAAGGTACTCTTTTCTCTCGATAATCTCCTGGGTCGAACGTCGAAATTAGACTACCACAAATAACAACTCCGATGAGGCAAATTTGATGGATTGTCGTGGAACTCGACATGATTATACCTCTGCGAACTCACATTTGCTTGGACGAATTCTAGTAGACTTTTTATAAAAAAGTAGGGAGAATAGACTTCCACGACCATATTGTTTCTTGTTTCATGAATCATGACTGCATTAGGATGCGTAATGGGACGCTCATAGTGTTGCTCCCTAAAATTGAACACCCCAAAGAAATCATAGTTTCGAGCAATTGGGTTATGCAATTTGAGCTACAAGGTGTTGGGACAATGCATTGCTAATCGATTAAATATGACTCATACCCAAACTAGTTGACCAAGACCATTGAAGTTTTATGTCGAATTGGCATATAACAGACTACATAATCATCCTACAAGATGTCCACACGATGTCATTTACATCCAAGACTACTAGCTAGGACCATGGTCTTGAAAGTAGACTTAGCCAAGGTTTACGATATAATCAACTAAAGCTTCTTGGAGTCCACTCTTAAGGTTGCACGCCTCCCCATGACTTTGAAAACATCATTATGTCATGTGTCACCATCATTAGCTTTGTTAGAGAGTGGCATAAGATCCATAATAACCTTCTCCCAACAACTCGAGTTATTGGGACCAACTAGTTTATGACATGGTATCAGAGTTGGTTTGACCAAGTGGTCGTGTGTTCGAATCTCCACGACCCCCAATATAACAGTTGATTAAAATCACAAGGTATGGTGGGTCTGTGCAAATTTCAAGCCCGTGAGTTGGCTTTCGTTTGAGGGGGTGTGTTAGGGGTGGGCAAACGGTTCGATAAACCCAACCGAACTGAAACCGAATTAAACCGAACCGAAGCCGAATTAATGCTATTCAGTCGGAATTCGGAAGGAAAATAGGGATAGTTCGGAAATCAGGGTTCTTTCAACCGACCCGAATTTCCGAATTTCCCACCGAAAAACCGAAATACTATAATTGCAAGCTCCAAATGGTGGATTTTTATGTTTGTAGTTGTTTTTAGACTTAAATATTTGAAATGTTTTATGACTTATGTGTTGAAAAGTTTGGTTTTATCATTGATGATGCATATAATTGATATTTATTGTTTATATTAGGGGTGAAAAATAATTTAAAAGTGAGAAAATACAAGTAGCTTCACAAATTCGGTTTTGTGTGAAAAATCAAACTGAACCGAATTATAAATCGGTTTAAACCGACCGAACCGAATTATAATTCGGTTCGCATTTGGTTTGATGTTTGGGAGAATTCGGAGACCTGGTATTCATAATTTCGTTTCGGTCGAAACCGAACCGACCGAATGCCCACCCCTAGGGTGTGTTAGAGAGTGGTATAACTTATAAGATCCATAATAACTTTCTCCCAACAACTTGAGTTATTGGGTCCAACTGATTTATGACAAGCTTCAATGTGCTATGGAATGGCGGCTGTGTCGATCAATTCCAGTTGACTTGTGGCTTAAAACAAGGATGTTCACTCTCGCCCTACCTCTTTAACTATTGCATTGAGAGACTAAATCACTGTATTAAAAAAGTCAATAGATTTTACTTGTGGCAGCCTACAATTTTATTGAAGAATCGTCCTCCACTCACACATTTATTTTTGCGGACGATTCAGTCCTTTTTACAGAGGCTGAACCGAAGAAGGTCAAGACAATCTTGACCTGTCTGGATCACTTTTGTGCAACTTCAGGAGAATAAATCAGCAATGACAATACGAAGATGAGAATTAGTGATATCTTGGGCAAGCAAACAAACAATCTAGGATATACTTTGACATACTTCTCTCAAGAACAAGAGGAGATGTTGATCCGGAGATTATCAACGATCATAAAATTTTTAAAACCATAATTTATAACTCATTCATATGGATGGTGAGCTTGAGGCATTTTTTCGATGTGTCTTTTGTATGGCTGCAAGCTTACAACTAGCTAACCCAATACTTAAAACTAATTAACAAGTCTGGAAATACACGATCGAATCCACACTCGGTCAAGCTTGTCAACCCGAAGTAACTCGTTGGCCCGATCGAGAAAATGGATTGAGGATTAATGGTCCGACCGCTTTAATTTGGTTTAGTCCGGATATATGAAAATGTCATTATGTTATTCATACAGTTATAAACTATACCAAATCTCATCTAACATATGAGTAATAACATATAACATTACGCCAAATGTTCATACACACTTATTAACATCAATATTCAAACTAAAAGAAAATTCATACTTGGATCCGACATATAGTGAAAATTCATACACACTTATTAACATCAATATTCAAATGTTCAACTAAGAAATCCAAAGATAGGGCTAGACGAAGAGGAAAACTGGAAATAAAACGCATTTCGCAAACTAAAAGAAAAACGACGTCGTGTGACATTAAATCTGATAACCTTACAATGAATCGATTCACAATTGTGTATAACCCAATTTTTATTTTTTTTACAATCAAAACAGAGTTAACAAACGGATCGACCCATAGTTTAAAACCCTTGCACTATGTACTTCATCCCGTTAGAAGCAAAAAAGGAAAGTGTTTTTATTGATTCTTTGTACTTGACCGTTAACAAATAACACCACATATCGTCGGATCATAAAGAGAAGAAGTTAATTCCACCAGCCACTCGTCACCACCAGGCTGTTCCCGAAGTTCCCAAAAGGCAAAATCCCCCGTTGCCTCCTCCCAAAAGAGAAATTAATTAAAACTCTCGTTTTTACAGGGATGAGGGGCGACTGCAGGGTGTGAAGGTGGCGCCAAGGGCTCCCAGGATTTCTCATCTATTTTTTGCTGATGACTCTTACCTCTTCCTGAGAGGGACCCTCCAGGAGTGTGAGAATCTCATTGTGGTCCTAAATGAGTATGAGGAATTGAGCGGACAGCGAGTCAATTTGAATAAATCAGCCGTTTGCTTTAGCAAGAATGTACTTTTGCCTGACCAAGAGTTCCTGGCTGCGATTTTGGGGGTAGGGGCAGTGGGTGTCCAGGATAAGTATTTGGGATTACCCACGTTGTTTGCCCGATCCAAGATGGCGACTTTCCGGTATTTAGAGGAAAAGCTTTTAGATCGTCTCAAGGGCTGGAAGCAACGGACGTTGTCTTGGGCAGCGAAGGAAACTTTAATCAAGTCCATTGCTATGGCGTTGCCCTTACATGTAATGTCTTGCTTTAAACTTCCAGTGTCTCTTTGTCGTATCCTGGATAAACATGTGGCCAGATTTTGGTGGGGGGTGACGGAGGATCATTTTAAGATTCGATGGGTTTCCTGGCGGAATATGTGTCGGAGCAAGCATGAGGGGGGGATGGGGTTTCGCAGATTCGAACAATTTAATCAGGCTCTGCTAGCCAAAATTGGGTGGCAAATCTTGACTGATCCGCAATCCCTGCTAGCCCAGGTCTACAAAGGAAAATACTTCCCGACTGGGACCTTTCTTACTGCTACGGCCCGCTCTCGCCCTTCTTGGGGATGGCAGAGCATCCTCTTTGGCCGCCAATTGCTAGAAAGGGGGTTGCGTTGGCAAATTGGGAACGGACAGTCGGCTTCCATGCTTGATTCCAATTGGATCCCCCAGTTCCAGTTTGATTCACTCCAGGTGAATCCGGTGGTGCTTCCGGAGGGGGGGGGGGATCCAAAGGTAGCAGAGCTTATTAGGGTGGGGGAGGGCCGCTGGTGTGACAGGAAACTTCGACAGTGGTTTGATCCCCCGACGTGTAGAGTCATCAAGGCTATTCCCCTTCCTCGCAGGAATGTTGAGGATAAGCTAATCTGGCATGCGACTGAGGATGGAGTGTTCACGGTTAAGTCAGCTTATCACCTCGCTGTCACATTGGACAAGAGAAGGGAAGGATGGAAGTCTATGGTGAGTTGGATGGACAAGGGTAGCTGGATTCGTCTCTGGGAGGCGAATATTCCCCCCAAGCTGAAGGTGTTTGGTTGGCAGATCCTGTCAAGGGCCCTTCCTACTACGGAGGCTCTCATCGAGCGTAGGGTCCCGGTGCATCCCCGTTGCCCGGTGTGTTGGGAAGGGACTGAAACCCTTGAACATTTGTTTCTCGAGTGTCCGGTGGCTCGAGCTTTGTGGGATTGTTCGGGTTTGGCTCATTTGGGGGAGGGTTTGCCGCGTCGGACTTTTCCTATGTTTCTTAAACAACTCTTGGCGCTGATTAACCAACCTCCGCTGTTTATGGCAGTGGTTGCCATCCTGTGGAGGATTTGGCGGTCGCGTAATTGGGTGGTTTTTGAAGGGAAGCAGTTCGGAATTCCTGTTCTTATGCGCCAGTTTAGCCAGCAGTATGAGGAATGGGTACGGCTTCCAAAAGAACCGGTGGCGCGGCCAGTCCAGTCTGGTCCAGATCCGCAGCATCTTCTTGAGCACTCTAGTCGGGTCTGTCGTTGGGACGGTGCTACGAGGAGTGGATCCCACTCAGCTGGGGGAGTGGTCCTGTTTCACTCAGAAGAGGAGGTGGACAGGGTCAGAGGTTTTCAGTTCCCGGGTATTGATAATCCCCAGCTGGTTGAGTTGCTGACGCTCAGGGAGGCGGTGACCTGGTGTGTTGGGCTTGGGCTCACGGACGTGATGTTTGAGGGGGATGCCAAGGTGATCATCGAGAAAATCAATTGTGGCGATCAGAGGGATAGTCGGATGGGTGCTGTGCTGACAGAGCTTGTGCAATATTTTCGCATCTATTCGGGGTTTCGTATTCGGTTCATAGGTCGGCGTAATAATAGGGTAGCCCATATGGTGGCTAGGAAAGCCCTGTCTTTGTACCCTACCATGAGTCGTTTCTTTGACTTTCAGACCTGGCTGCTTTCCAGGGTGTAACTTTCTTTATCAATTCTATATAAGATTATCTTTTGTAAAAAAAAAAAAAATACAGGGAGAGAGAAAAAGGGTCCGGACCGGAGCCATTTCGCCCGGGCCCCACCAACTACAACTTCCGCCACCGCCGCCGCCGCCCGTTCCGCCACCACAAGTCCACCGCCGCCGACTTCCCCAGCTAAGCTAAAAAGCTTCTCAACTCTTCCCACTCCCGAAAAAACTTTTCTGACGTGATCTTCGCTTTCCCTTCTTCCTCACCCCCCTTGCTGGCTTCGCCTGCAACAATGGGTTCCAAGCCGTGGTTATACCCGGCTCCCGCCTATCGCTCCCTAGAAACCTACTGGGACACCGACGACGACGCCCCTGGCCCCAGATGCGGCCACACCTTGACCGCCGTCGCAGCTACCAAGACTCACGGCCCCCGCCTCATCCTCTTCGGCGGCGCTACTGCCATCGAAGGCGGCGCATCTTCCTCCGCACCTGGCATCAGTTAACCCTACATTTCCATCCTCTCCTCTCCACTACTTCTTGTCTTCTTGCTGCTTCCTGAGCTTTTGCTTCGCTTTGCAGGATTGGCTGGAGTGACCAATTCAATTCATTCTTACGACGTTCTCACTAGAAAATGGATTAGGTATGCCTTTATCTTGTTTTAGTTCTAGATTTCTTTTGGATTCGATCCAATTCTCACCTATTTGTTTGATAACTAACGAATCAGACTTCGACCAGCTGGAGATCCGCCTTCTCCGAGAGCCGCCCACGCTGCTGCCGCTGTTGGTACTATGGTTGTCTTTCAGGTGATTTGGTTGCATTGGTTTTGGCACTCACAACTGCATTTGCTTGCTGCTAAGCTTTTTGATTTACTGCTATTCTCATTTCTTCCCAATTGTTGTCTTCCTTAGGGTGGCATCGGTCCTGCTGGGCATTCCACTGATGATCTCTATGTACTTGACTTGACCAATGACAAGTATAAATGGCATCGGTGAGTAATCCTTATGTTTAATTTAGCGAAATTGTCTTGTTGCAAGGCTTTTCGAAGTCATTGACTGATTTTGCTTTCTTTAAATTGTAGAGTGGTTGTACAAGGGCAGGGTCCGGGACCTCGATATGGCCATGTAATGGATTTGGTTGGCCAAAGATTCCTAGTTACCGTCAGTGGCAATGATGGTAGGATGATTTATCCGTTACAATTTGTGATGCCCCTGTGTTTCTTCTTGATTTAGTTGGAGGAATACACTTTTTGTTTGCTGGTGTAGGCAGATTTTACTGTTTAAGAACTTAGCATTGTATTTTGAATCCCCTTGTTACCTTCGTTCACAATGTGATTATCTGAACTGATAACTCTGTTTCTGGGGACATTGTCTGTTTTATAAATAGCTCTTTGATTTCTAGTCTGCCAGTCCTTGTCAGAAGAGACTTCCAAGTAAAAATTTCTTGCTTTCACTGGAACATGAGCTAGTTGTTATCTTCTATGTTAATGTGGAATTAGTTGCTAAGATCATTTGTCAGTATGAAAATGGGCATGCAGTTTATTTTGTCGAACAAGAAGAAGAGGTCTGTCAATTAGACTGATGGAAGAAGGGCTAGAGGGTATTAGTTACTTTTGTTTTTTCAAATGATGATAAGCTTCTACTGTTTTCTGTCATGGGCTCATGGCATGTTCGTTTTTTTTTTGTTGGGATAATCAAGCATGGTATAATCTTAGTCAGACTATTTTGGTGCAGTACATGAAAAGGCTATGTATTGGACCTCTAGTTTTCCTTATGATCCAATGGCACTCTGCTGGAGTTTATAGGATTCGGTCTAAGTGAATCATGTGCTACTTCCGTTTTGTATTGACACATACTTGATTATGCAGATTTTGGGTCTCCGACGATCAGAGTCTAACATTAGACTATTATGCTGATGAATACTTAGTTATCATTGTAATGGGTTTTAAGATAACTTGCAGGCAAAAGAGTTCTATCTGATGCTTGGACCTTGGATACTGCTCAGAAACCATATGCGTGGCAGAGGCTGAATCCTGAAGGTGATAGACCTTCTGCTAGAATGTAAGCATGTTCAAGATGTCAAGTATAAGCCATGATTTTACGTTTTCTTTATTATCAACTGCTCTTAATTTGACATGAGTTTACTGAGTAGGTATGCAACAGCCAGTGCTCGCTCAGATGGCATGTTTTTGCTTTGTGGCGGTCGAGATACCTCTGGCACGGTATGATTATTCATTCCTGAAAGCAAGGGCTCACTTGTTACTTCGTTTAAATTGCTGGAATCAAATTATGGTACTTGCTGGACGTGTTTATGTTGATTCTATCTTGTTATTCTCCCTAGCTACCTCCATCGTAGCTTGAAAGTAGTCATTGCTTAGTTTGGTGTACTGAAGTATCAGTTCATCACAACAAAATAAAAAAATGCAGTGGGTGCTAAGTGGACCTGCTACTATGAAATGTGAACTTATAGTTTAAGGGTGGCTCGTTCACTTTGTTATTGTCCGATTGTCCCCTACAAAAAATTCTTCCTTGAACGAGGGAGTCTTATGCTCAAGATTTTGTTACTAAGATGGGAATGTCCATTTACTTTTTCTGCTCTTTGTCTTATGTGAAGAAGGCACTGGGAGCCAAACTCAATGTTTCCATTAACAAGACAGCTTTCATGCTTTGCATCTTGGGCACAATATGTGATGACGAATGCCCCTGGCTGGCTGCTCTATATCATTTGTATAAAGATTGTTCTTCCCTTTCTGCTCTTGTCATGCCTAACAATTCCACCAGTACTTGACTAGCAGGTTTTCTGTGCATTTTATTAATATGCTTCTTCATATTCAAGCATATCCATACGTGATCTTTGCTTTATATGAATTCTATATGCTATCTCTTTCCCATTGGACTTCAGTACTATGAAGGACCATGATGTCTTGTTGCCTTAATTTGAACACACTGATTGGTTTGCATAACAGCCTCTTGGGGATGCTTATGGACTTCTAATGCATAGAAATGGTCAGTGGGAGTGGACCCTTGCCCCTGGAGTGTCTCCTTCACCTAGGTATCAACATGCTGCAGTAAGTGATACGGAAATTCAGTAGTCAGTGGGATATTTCAATGGGTTTCTTTTGAAGGGAATGCATTTGGATCTTTAGATGACATCTACCATCATTTTCTGTCAGGTTTTCGTTGGTGCTCGCTTGCATGTAACAGGCGGTGTTTTAAGAGGAGGACGTGCTGTGGAAGGTGACGCAGCTATTGCAGGTAATTTTTTTGGTGTCATCTGAGATATTGTCTCAGTCAACAGCTTGCAAGACAGAGAATGCAGGAAAACGGGAGGGATGAAATTTGCAATCTGCCTTCATCCTATGAATTACCAGATGTGAACTGAGACTTGGAAAGTTATCTTACATTTTTTCTGTTTTGGTTAGTACTGGACACTGCTGCTGGTGTTTGGCTGGATAGGAATGGGCTCGTAACTTCATCAAAAAGTGGCAGGGGACCGGCTGAACATGATCCTTCTTTGGAGCTAATGCGGCGTTGTCGTCATGCAGCTGCTTCTGTGGGTGTTCGTTTATATGTATATGGAGGTCTGAAAGGAGGTAAATTTTGCAGATGTTAGCTCTTAGTTATGCCCAGGACTGCTCATAATTAATGTCTATGTTATTTGTGGGCAGTGGGTGACTTTTGGTACTCGTCTCACATGAAGTTATTTTCAAAATAAAAATAGTATAAAATAAAAGGAGAAGAGAAACCGACAACATAATGTTACCAGAAAAAGGAGAAAATCAAAATCCTATAGAAGCACGACAGAGTTAATGTGGGTCACTAACTATCACCGTCATGTTTGCTTCAACGATAGTGTATGACTTACCCATTCGTGGCTGTATTACATGAATGAGTGGTTGGGTTTTCAACGGTTACAAGCTATGAACCTCCTCTTAAGTACTAAGTTAGTTGTGCCACTAATTTTGCTGTGTATATCCTGAGTTCGTTATATTGACTGTCTACCTTGAATTGGCAGTTTAGAATTCTGAGTGATGTTTTATGATCATATTGTGATAGCACTAACACATTTCCTTCTGTAAGGAAACTCATTGTTCTTGGATTCCTTCATATATATGATTTTTGTGCTGCTTAGTTAAGCTTTCTAGGGTATCTTGGGGCTTTCTGCTCTTCCGTGTCACCAGACACTTCAGTAACGGACTATGAATCTACTCTTTTACCTAGTTTGGTGAAGCACTGAATGGTTCTTGTATGACAGCCTTCTTACGAGTGATGCTATTTTGTACCCTCAATTGCTAGTCGCTCAGTTTATTGTGGGTTCACTCAGAGCCCTCACAACATTCTATCAATGATAGTCAAATTTCCTTTCAGGGATGCCCATAATTTAGTTTCCTTCAGGAACAACAGTTCGCCAATTCACAGTTTTAGGACTTGATTGCTTCTTTCTTATCTTCTTTGTTGATTGGATTGTGATGATTTCTTCCTCTTTAAGTTGTTACTCCCCACGCAACATTGAAAACAAGGATGCATCTGAGTAGACCAGGTTATTTGTTGCTGCAGATCTGCTTTTGGACGACTTCTTGGTTGCGGAAAATTCTTCCCTTCAGCCTGATGGAAATTCCCCTGTAACGAGCCCCAGAGTAAATAACACTAGTTTTGGTTCTCATGATGGTGAAGCAGAGAGCCCTTCTTTTGGTAGTGTCAGGTTTGGATTGTCTACTTGCTTGGTTTTATGCTAGGAGAAGGTCCTTTCCAGTTTCATTTCTATGGAATGACATTCACTTGTATTCTTCGATTGCAGCCTGGATAATAACTCAATGGAGAAACTGAGGGAGGCCTCTGCAGCTGAAGCCCAAGCGGCTAGTGCTGTGTGGCAAGCTGCTCAGGCAGCATCTATTAATTCAGCTGAAGAAACTTCAGTGTCTGATGACAACTCACAGGCAGCTGAGGCGACCTCTGATGGTAGTGAGGTGGAGGCTGATGTCCGCCTTCATCCTAGAGCTGTATGTTTTATGCTCGCTGTTACACAAACTAGATTAATTCTTTAATCACAAAGCCTCCGAAATCATGCTATATGTATCGCAGGTTGTAGTTGCTAAAGAGGCTGTAGGCAACTTGGGTGGCATGGTGAGGCAGTTATCATTGGATCAATTTGAAAATGAAAGCAGAAGGATGGTTCCCACTACTAGTGATACACCAAATCCTGCCAAAAGGTTCATGAGGCAGAAGTCTCCTCAGGGTTTGCCCAAAAAGGCAAGGGCATATAATTGATTACTGATTTGACTCTGGTTGAGGATGGATCTTAACTTTTTTGTGGTCTGTTGCAGGTTATATCTACATTGCTTAGGCCTCGGAACTGGAAAGCTCCTACAAATAGGAGGTTTTTTATGGATTCCTATGAAATTGGTGAACTTTGTTATGCTGCTGAGCAGATATTCATGCACGAACCTACAGTTCTTCAGCTGAAAGCTCCAGTGAAGGTGTTTGGCGACCTCCATGGACAATTTGGTGATTTGATGCGTCTCTTTGATGAATATGGATTTCCTTCCACAGCAGGAGACATTACGTAAGTGTGGTACTCAGCGATCCTTCACTATATCTGTGGGGCCAAAATTAGTCGGACCATTTTTTTCATCAGTTCAAACAATTTAATTTGGCAATGTAGAAGGATTGAAAGTTTTCAGCGTTAAGTAAATTAGAAAGTTAGTCAGATTGGTAACATGGTTTGTAACTTTGAAAGTATTAACAAGCTTGGAACCCCCAATTTGATAGTCTTGGTAATTAATTCACTATAGTTAATCTCGGAGCCGGCACTTCACTTATCAAAGTGAATGATTAGCAAGCTAAGGTAGAGGACTTGCTTAGTATGTTATGATGGGAACCATGTGTCTGAAGTAGGATATTGGTACTTTCAATGGTCTTTCTTAGAAGGGGTATTAGTGGGATTCTTGTTTATGGTACTGAAGTTAGCTTCAAGCTTTCATTTTCCAGTCTAATCACTAATGGACTAGTTATCCAATAGGCAAAGGGGCCCCGATGCTGAAATGTCATCTAACGAAATTTCATCATGCTCTTTCAGGTATATCGACTACTTATTTCTTGGAGACTATGTTGACCGTGGACAGCACAGTTTGGAGACTATAACTTTACTTCTTGCTCTTAAGGCAGGCCCTTTGCTTTTAGAATAAAAGTTGACGACTATAATCCACTAATAGTGTCATTGACCACCTTCTTTTGCTATGTTTTAATGTAGATTGAGTATCCCGAAAATGTTCATCTAATACGAGGAAACCATGAAGCGGCTGACATCAATGCGCTCTTTGGTTTTCGCATTGAATGCATTGAGAGAATGGTATTTTAAATTGTAACCTTGATTATGCAACCTGCACAATGGAGAATACAGCTAACAAGTGTCACTTCCAGGGAGAGAGTGATGGGATATGGGCATGGACGCGGTTCAATCAACTTTTCAACTATCTTCCACTTGCTGCACTTATTGAGAAGAAAATTATTTGTATGCATGGGGGAATTGGTAGATCTATTACTTCAGTGGAACAGATAGAGAAACTTGAGAGGCCCATAACCATGGATGCAGGTTCCATAATACTGATGGATCTTCTATGGTACTGCTTTTCTCACATATGATTTATGGGGGGTTTTCCCCTTCTCTTTGTAGTGTGCTCAAACTCCTGAGTGTGATGTGCAGGTCTGATCCTACTGAGAATGATAGTGTCGAAGGCTTGAGGCCCAATGCCAGAGGTCCTGGTCTGGTCACCTTTGGGGTATGTATCACTCCGATTTACGTGCATCGTCCTTTTCTTCTTTTTATGGGGTTAAGCAAGATGAACATAGCCTTGTTCAATACAATCTCGCTGTTACTGCCAAGCCTGAAGCTACTACTATATATGCTTGCTTGATGGACGAGCCATTTGTTATGCGTTTCTGTCTGTATCTATTGTTAGTGTTGTAAGGTTCTGCAACGTTTGCAAAGATGTTGCTTTATAGTAGAAGTGTAGAACTAACTAATGCATTTTACTCGCAATCTTGATGCAGCCTGACCGTGTATCAGATTTTTGCAAGAAGAACAAGTTACAGCTGATCATTAGAGCGCACGAGTGTGTTATGGATGGGTTTGAACGGTTTGCTCAAGGGCAGTTGATTACGCTATTTTCAGCTACAAACTATTGCGGTAAAAAAACATACTGATCAATATTCTGTTGTAGTCCTCACCAAACTACCAATTGCTAACGTTCTACACATAAATGTCAGGAACTGCAAACAATGCAGGGGCCATCCTAGTGGTGGGACGTGGATTAGTTGTGGTGCCGAAGTTAATCCACCCTTTGCCACCACCCCTCCAATCCCCTGAAACATCTCCGGAGCGCATCACTGATGACACATGGATGCAAGTAAGATCGCGACTGCATTTGATCTCCAAACAAATATGCCTTAAAGCTCATATTTTGATCGGGAGGCTTACAAAACCCCCCCTTCGTTTCTATGTTTTATGTGGTGGCTTTTCAGGAACTTAACATACAGAGACCGCCAACCCCGACACGTGGTCGCCCACAATCTGAACTTGACAGGAACTCACTTGCGTACATATGATGGATCAAAATCATTATCTCACCCCGGCGCCGCCAGTCAGCCAGCCAGCCCCTGTGAATTTTGTGGCTTTATCATCATCAATTACACATTACAGTCTCAGATTTGGTTAAAAGGACGCTTAGGCCAGTCTGGTATGTCGCTTTTGGTTGTTGTGTTTTATGCAAATAGAAGAAGAGAATGAAGAAAGAAGCATTAGGTTGGATTGGCTAAAGCACTCATTTGGGAGGATGAGGCGTTACCCAATCCGGTGTAACATAATGTACAATTCGTATAGGGGAAGATGGATGAAAAAGGAAAGTTGTTCAGGTGTTTAATTGGTTCTGTGTCTCTTTTTTGCGCAGTGTATTGTGATATAACAAAGGGTATAGAGGTTAAATAGTCTGATGGGTTGGGTTGGTTTGGTTTGTTTTCTGGTATTGTGCACAACCAAGAAGCAATTCAGAACTTTGTTCTTGTACGCACCATTTTTATACGCACCATTTTTGCCTTTTTCCTGCATTTTTTTTAGTAACGTTTGGATACAATTCGGTAAGAAATCCATTTTCATTTCGGATTTTTAGTTAATTTCATTTCTAGTTCTTTGTACTTTATGTCGACACAAGCATTCCTTAAAGATTATTCCCTCTTTGGAAAATTGATGACTTAAAAAGGATCAAACCTTCGAGAATCACTCGTAGGTAAGAACTCACCAGCAACATAGATCTTTGCGAGTGGCGTGGTTTAGATGAACATGTGGGATGAAACTATGCAAACATATGAGATATTTGGAACGCCAATGTTGACTATGTTGGACAAAGTTTTCCTCAAAATCACGATTACGATCGAGATCGAGATAGCCAACAATAGAATCATCAAAGTAACTATGTCGATGCTTACAAGATCTCTAATAATTGACTTGCCAGCAATTATAAGAGTTGGTCCAAATTAGTGTGCGACCTCCATGCAAAGAGTAGGGTTCGATTTCTGCTCACTCCAAGCTATATCAACTTCTAATAAGCTGAAAGCCTTATTCCACGATCAACAAGTAATTATGCAAAGTATGGAGCGTCAAATAGCTTGCTTAGTCTTGGCAGTCAACGATCGACAACTAGGAACTCTTAGTATCTGAAACCTTAAACCAATCTAACTCTCAAAATATCTAAAGTTACTCGTACGTAATCATATTATGACAAAATTCTGTTCGAGGATGACCAAATAGAGGCTAAGAAACATATTCAGAACTTGCAGAAGGTCAAAATGGAAATCCCATCAAGTAGAATTTGGCGGTAAGGGTGCCAAAACTCATTTGCTTTTTACGGCTGAGGTGCCAAATCCATCACCCGAAAAGATGTACATGAAGGATGTGAATGCTGAAACTACGACAAACCCAGCTTCGATATTGTAGGATAAGGGTAGCAACAGAATCAACCACGAGGAAGTTTTAACAAAAAACTACTATCAAAGAAGCTACACTAACTATTAACAAAACCCTCAAGCTCAACCCCGACCACCATCACCACCCGGAGTGGCGAAAACCTATAGTCTACCCCAAAGTCACATCCACCAACGATCCATACATTCGCAATCCTCCATGGAGTGCGAAACCCGATCGTTGTACTTCGGGGTTTGGAAATCAACCTCTATATAAAGAGCATGGTGTGATTAACCCCGATCTTGTTAGAGAGTGGTATAAGATCCAACATAACCTTCTCCCAACAACTCGAGTTATTTGGAGCATCCGAATGACCAATTCGTTAGCCACTCGAAACATAAGTGACCATTTTAACTATTAACCTCCGTCTTGGCGCACCCGAGTCTTTGAAATGAAAACCCAAAACGCATCGCAGACAGGATAAGGGGAAGAACAAGAATCAAAATCTCTACGAAAACCAGTCTGGCCTGCCATCTCCTCTACCGGACCTGCATTTGGCGATTTCCCGTTCCCGTATTATGTCTATAGCAGTGACCAATTGCTGCTTCTCTGCCGTCTCCTCTACCGTCAAGTTTCGCTGCTCTGCTTCTTCGAGCCGCCTTCTCGCCACCACCAACTCCTCCGCTGCCTGCGTCGCCTCCAAAGCTTCCATCCATAACAGAAAGCGTTCAAAGCGCGGTTCTGCATCTTCCCCTGCTGACAGAATCAATAGTAAGGATGTAAGTCTTAATCTCTCCCTCTCTATTCCACTCCGTAAGTTATACTTGTTGTTGTTCGAGCTCCATTCTTTCTTCTCCTGTGAATTTCGATGTCTTTGTGTGTGTGTTTGCAAATTGCAATGTCTTGTTGGGGCTTTAATTTGAAATTGTCGCGTCCAGAGGGAGGGCGTTTCTCAAACGAAATCTGCTGGTAGAGCGAAAGATGGGAGGTCTTCTCCTTTCCAGGCCGATTCCAACAGTGGCAATGCTAAGCCATTTGGGTCACAAAGAAGAGATAACAAGAGTTTGCAGTTTGATTTGAAGGAACAACCGGTACTTCCGATACCTTTCTTCTGACTCCAGTATCCACATTCAATTGTAAAATGAGAATTTAGCGGGGCCAAATTGTTGCTTTGGCGATTCTGCGAGTCCATTATCAGAGCTCCCCTGCTGTTTTTACCTTCTTGTTTAGCTCTTGTATCACATCATCATCGTTATGTTGTGTGGTGCTGGTATTAATGCAGGTCGGAGCTGGGAATCTTCAGGTTGCAGTTTTCCTAGATGCGGTAGTCAAGGTTAGATGTTCACCTGCCTTTTCATTTAAAGGAGGGTCAGTGCATTTTGTATCATTGTACGTGCTGTGTGTTTGATCACAAATCACAACTTGTCTCAATTTTCTCAAGCTTGTTTTTTTCCCCTCCAGGTTTACTGCACCCACACGGCGCCTGACTATTCTCTCCCGTGGCAAAAACAAAGGCAATTTACAAGTACTGGGAGGTGAAGTTCAAAGAAGTTCTTATTTATTGAACTTTTCTTCACCGCTGGTATGATTTGAGTCATGGGTTTTATCTGGGGCCTCTAGATTTATGTGTACGTTTTATGTTCTCTTTCAGTGCTTTTATGATAGGGAATGGGAGACTTCTAACAAATGCACACTGTGTGGAATATCAAACACAGGTAATTGGATTTCCTAATTCATGCCATGGCTTTTTCAAGCTTCCGTTTCTGGGTTAATTATTGTTATCATTTATTGTTGCTAAAGACCGAAAAGTCTAATATTAATTTCATGGGTTAGAAAACATGACCTGAAGGTGATAGTGTGCTCGATAAGTGTCTTAAGCAAGTAGACTAGCTGCCGAAGTGTAAATGTTAAGGAATTGGGTAACTAATTGATCATATGTTTTCCTCAAAATTTTCTTACGTCTAGTTTCTTGGTGCACCTTTTATTTTCTCCCCTTGCGAAGGGACCTAAGACCCAAGATCAATGGGTGCGCAATATTATTGCTTCTCCAAGTACAATGAGATCTATTGATCATGATACGCTAAGTAGCCATGATATTTTTTTAATGTCATGACAGATAGTTTTATTTAACAACTGGACTCTTTCACTAGTTTGATATAACTACTACTCATTAGTTTTATTTTTCTGAAGTTTTTTGAACAGTACTGTAATAGTATTGTTCACAGCTTCACCAAGTTTTTGCCTCTTTGGGTACTTTATGAGCGCTCAGTATTTCTTTTCACATGCAAATTTTCAATTTTAGCTGAATTTATTTTTGCTTCCCATGATGCAGTAATCCTTACAAGGAAACCATGCATCATGATGGTTCAGAAGTTTACCATTTTAGTAAAAACTTTTGCTGTCAGTAAATTTTATGTATTATCTGTGAAATGACAAGTAAACATGAAATCCTTTTTTTTTTTCCCTTAATGAATTTTGATGACAGGTTAAAGTGAAGAGAAGGGGAGATGACACTAAATATGTGGCCAAGGTATCCATTTTATACTCTTTGTTCTCAATAACGTCAGAAGGCCTAAGGCGAAGAGCCTTAAGCTTTGAAATGGGTTGAAAACTCGCAATGTGATTCCTGACATGTATGTGGGGTGTTAATAGCACATGATTTGCTGTTTGGATAATTTCCTAATCATATGAGTTATACACACATAGTGAATTCTATTGTCTTCTTGATGTTTGGTTCTTGCCTGTTTACATGAAGCACTGGTAGCAACTGCAGTCCCGTTAATGACATAATGAACAGGTATTGGCCAGGGGTGTTGATTGTGATATAGCTTTGCTTGCTGTTGAAAGTGAGCAATTTTGGGAGGGGGCTGAACCATTACAGTTGGGTGACTTGCCTCATCTACAGGTCACATTCACTGCTCCTGCAATTTTCCATACTTTCGGTTGTTCATGCTTTCTGATGAAGCATTTCTGTCATTTATGAAGGGCAGGAAGCAGTAACTGTTGTAGGATATCCACTTGGAGGAGACACTATTTCAGTGACAAAGGGAGTTGTATCACGGATAGAGGTAGGATAGGTCGTGTATGAAATTTATCCCTTTTCGACGTCAGTGATTTTAATTGGATGCTTTCTAATCAGTTTAATTAATGAATTTTCAAGAACCAAGTTGCTGAGTCCAGTTAACATATTGCCAGGTTACTCCTTATGCACATGGATCATCCGATTTACTTGGTATTCAAATTGATGCAGCCATAAATCCTGGTCAGTAGCCATCCCTATTGCTTCTAAGCTCTTGATTTTTAATTTGATCTTGTTACCGTATACTTCGCAAGGCTTTATTCCGTATCTCTATGATGGCCACTGCTTATGCTTGCTAGATTATAGGTAATAGTGGTGGTCCAGCATTCAATGACCGTGGGGAGTGCATTGGGGTGGCTTTCCAGGTAGTTTATCTTGGGCGCTGTTGAAGTTTATCTACAAGTTCTTTGTGTTTGGAACTATTTATAAATAACATGATGTTATGTTTTCCAAACCATCCTTGATTCAAGCTGAGGGTGATGTCCATGGCTCTCTTTTTCCTTTTTATCGGAAAATATGTTCTTAGATATAAGATAGAAAATTGTCATACTTCATTATGTTGCCTTCAGAAGTTGCTCCATATTGTACTTCGGTTTCTCTTTACAATTTTCACCCACGAGTTACTTCTTTTAGGCTTACAGATCCGAAGAGGCTGAAAATATTGGATATGTTATTCCAACAACAGTGGTCTCTCATTTCTTGAGTGACTATGAGAGGAATCAGAAATACACTGGTAATGTACTAGCATATCTTTCATACGTCAACACTGTACATTCCTTTTTCTTCATAATTAGTTAAACATGCGTATCCTACATTTGCATGTTGGGATATATGTTTAACTAAATTGGTGATTTGGTTAGATCTGCTTTATTGAATGGTATAACCGGACTAGGACGTGTTCTTCTAGATACCTCAGAAACATAATTTAACCTTAATCATGGAACGAGACCTTTATACGACGATGTCCCATGTAACTTCTTAACATGTGACTTACAGGCTTTCCTTCGCTTGGTGTATTACTGCAAAAGCTGGAGAACCCTGCACTGAGAGAGTGTCTGAAAGTGCCATCTAGTGCGGTACTATCCTTGTCTTTTGCCAGTTCAATGTATATGGCCGAGAGTAACCAATCTGTTTTCTGCAGGGCGTGCTGGTTCGGAAAGTTGAACCAACATCTTATGCAAATAAAGTGTTAAAAGAGGTAAGCTGGCCATTTATGTTCAACACCTTCTGATTTGCATAATTGCTTATCTTAAATAATTATTAGGATAATGTTGGCTGACTAGTACTCGGTATTTATTATAACATCTTATTAATTGATTGGTAAAGATACCCAGATAGTCTTTATGTCAATTTAGTAGGGTGTTGAAATAAGCGTGTCATACAAAGTTTTCTGAACCTAGTCATGCTTATGCTGTCCCAAACTATTGCACAAAGTTTTAGCAAGAACATGTCAAACCCTGGGGCGTAACTAGCAGAACTGAGGATATTTTGGTTTGTCTTTACTTTTCAGGGTGACGTGATTGTGAGCTTTGATAACGTTCAAATAGGGTGTGAAGGAACTGTGCCGTTCCGGTCAAATGAGCGCATTGCATTCCGCTACCTTATTAGTCAAAAGTAAACTATTTTTAGCTTCGCAAATAATTGTTTGTGCTGGTTCTACCTTCTTGTTGTTTTGCTTGAATTGAGATATATAATCTCAGTTCTTTCATAGTTGAATGCATAGTGATGCTCGTATACAGATATGCAGGTGATGTAGCGGAGCTTGGTATTATCAGAAATGGTCAATCCATGAAAGTTCAAGTGGTCCTAAATCCAAGAGTTCATTTGGTAATACATGGCTGGGAACTTGAAACTAGTCATTAGCTTTATCGCATGATGTCCATTACCTAACCTGCATTGTTATGTTGCTCCCTTTTAAAGGTGCCTTATCATGTAGATGGCGGTCAGCCTTCTTACTTGATAACTGCTGGTTTGGTGTTTACTCCTCTCTCGGAACCACTAATAGAGTATGTTTTCCTTCCTTTTGTAAGAACTTTTGCTTTCAATGTCAATACCTGTGATGCCTTTTGTTCATTCGTTTTGTTATTAAACTAACTTTTCCTATTCATGAAATGCAGTGACGAATGTGAAGATCCCATCGGGGTAAGCTCTACGGTCTCCGAACTAATCTAGGTGAACAGTTCTTCACTATATGTGCTACGAGGCTTGTTTTCTGATGATTCTATGTTCTCTTACAGTTGAAGCTTTTAACAAAGGCGCGTTACACATTGGCGAAGTTTAAAGGAGAACAAATTGTGATCCTATCTCAGGTGAACTAGCCACCTTCACCCACCATTATGATGAGATCGAGACTTCTTTTGGTTTCTTATGACACTTGATCTTCATTCTATCCCTAGCCCTACTTATGTTATCGGCTGTAGATCTGTTTGATAAGATCTTACTTCTTAACTCGAGTCCTTGGTTCTTAACTTGTAGGTGTTAGCAAATGAAGTCAACATTGGATACGAGGATATGGGCAACCAACAGGTAGCAATAAACAATTTAGTTTTTTCATTTCAGTCAACCGTTCGTTGGGTGACAAGATTCTTCTGACTTCTGAGTCCTCTCTCTGACAAGCACAAACAAAACTTGCAGGTGTTGAAATTCAATGGTACCAGAATACGAAACATTCATCATCTAGCCCACCTAATTGATTGTAAGCCATGAATGCTTGCATCTTCCCCTTTTTTACCTCATAACCCCTTGTTCAAGATTCTGTTTTCTCACACTCAGTGTATGCCATTGATCAGCATGCGCAGGCAAGTACATGGTGTTCGAGTTCGACGGCAATTATTTGGTTGTGTTGGAGAAGGAAGCAGCTCTGAGTTCTTCATCACAGGTTCTCCAAGATTATGGGATACCATGTGAAAGATCTTCAGATCTGTTAGAGCCATATGTGGAGTGCAATGCTGGAGACGGTCAATCCGTTGTGGATGGGGATTTTGGAGACAGTCCAGTTTCCAATCTGGAAATTGGGGTTGATGGAATCCTCTGGGCATGATGTACTCATTAGGTGTATCACAGGTTATTTATTTAATTTATTGAGATTTATACAACTTTTTTTCTATATATATATAATGGATGTGGTGGCATCCTACCTTTCATTCAAAACCAATAAGGATCCATCTCTCCTCTGTTGGTGCCTCAGTTGCATCGATCTATGCGCAACTCTAAAGGGATCCCTCCTGTTCGTTTTAAAGATTATGTGGGTTATGGTGTTGTTGATGCTCTTGTTCTCCCTACTCGTTTTTAAACAAGCTCACGGTGATCCGATTGTGGGATCAAGCCATGCAAGAAGAGATCGATGCCTTGCATGGAAATCAGACTCCGAGTGTTGTAGATTGTCCTCCACCATCCATTCCCATGCTGGGCAGCCGGTGGGTTTATACCATTAAGATAAAGCCAGACGGGAATGTGGAGTGTTACAAAGCTTGGGTTGTCGCTCAGGGGTTCACTAGCAGGAGGTGGATTATGATAAAAACCTTTGCTCCTGTGGCCAAGATGTCGACTGTTTCGGACTCTCTTGCCAGTGGCTGCTCTACGTCATTGGCCCTTATTCCAGCTTGACGTAAAGAACGTGTTTCTGCATGGGGAATTGAAGAAAGTGGTCTATATGGAGCGATCGACCGGGTACATTGTTATGATTTCTGATCAGGTTTGCCTCCTTCATCGTTCTATTTATGGCTTGAAACTTGCCTATGGAGTCTGGTTTGAGAAGTTTCAGGCTACTATTCTATGTTTTGGGTTTCAGCAAAGCTTGAACGACTCATCGCTGTTTACTGAGGTTACTTAAGCTGGTATTGTTGCACTTTTGATATATGTGGATGATATAATCATTACTGGTAGTGATGCATATGCAATTAAGTCTTTGAAAGATGGTCTTCATGCTTGTTTTCCCTGAAGGACCTTGGACATCTTTCTTACTTCCTGGGACTGGAGATCACTCGCACATTCCGTGGTATTATTCCCAGTCAACTTAAGTATATCTCGCAATGTAGTTAAAAGCGCGACTCTACCTAAAAGCGGAAAAGGGGTAAAATCGAAAAGCGGTGAATCAAAGCGTAAAAGCGTAAGTTTTTATACATCTTGTATAATAGTTAAAAATCTGTTAAGTACGACATAAACTATGTAAAATATGAGTGCACATAATTTAGCTAAAAGAATAAATACCTGCAATTCATGTCTAAATTAAATTATCGATCCATGACCACATGGCTCTTCCGCTGTACTCTTCGATCCATCGATCTCCCACCACTACAACAACCACCGCCGTTTCCGCCTCCGCCTCTATATTAATTACATCGTACAATCCAACTCTTTGTCCTATGAACTAATAAAAACAATTGCTTTCCCCTTCATTGGCTAGACGAAGAATCTTCATAGTTATTGATGTATAATGAAACACAACTGCTCAAATTGGTGAAGACTGAAGCGGCGATGGGCTAGGACAAGGAAGAGACAGAAACTAACCGGTTGTGTCACCGGCGAGTGGCGAAAGGCGATGACGAGTCCGACGGGTGACAGGTGATGGGCGCTGCCGCGTTGGTGGCCTGGAGCCTTGTAACAGCTGCAAATTCTTCGGTGGAAGGGGGCGGACTGGCGGCAACGGTTGTGAAGTCTTGTAGCAGCTACGGATTTTTCGCTGGAGCCTGGAAGGCCTGCCTCGCAACGGCATTGACAGGCGATGACGAGTAATGAGGGCGGCGGCGGGGCCTGTCTTCGTTGGAGTGCTGGAGACAAGAGACAACGATTAAGAATTTTGGAAGAGTTTGGCAGCCTCAGCCTGATATCCACCCTATTCCTTTTTTTTTTTGTCCGAAGTGCTCAAAACGGCGTTGTTTTGGTTTGGTGGAGGCAGTTTTCTCCTTTGCTTAATATCGGATAAAATCGGTCTGAAAACGCGATTTTATACGATTTCACCGATTTTAACGATTCTACTAACGCTTTTGACCGATTTTGAGTGAAAACGATTTTATTAGTGATTTGAAACGTTTTCCTACCCTAGAAACGTAAAATCGTACGATTTTACGCTTTAAAGCGCGATTTTGACTGCACTGATTATCTCGGATCTCTTAGCCAACCACCAGTTTGATTAGTGTATTCCTGTACGGATTCCTATGGAACTTAAACTTAAGCTTCGGCAGGAATCGAGTACTCCCCTTGCTGATGGTTCTTCCTATCGGATTATTGTTGGCAGTCATATTTATTCGGCTGCCACGCGTCAAGATATCTCGTATGTTGTTCAGGTGGTTAGTCAGTTCATGGACACTCCTTGTGTCGACCATCTTGATGCAGTTCACCGTATTCTTTGATATCTCTGTAGTACTTAGGATGTGGGGATTTTCTTCCCGGCCAGTGGTCCTAGCTCTAATCGTGCCTTTCCTGATTCGGTGATTCCGACTTTGCTGGGTATCTGGACACTCGCGTCGCTGGTCTACTACAGGATGGTGTGTGTAGTTTGGTGGTAGGGATTTCAAGCAAAACCATAGACGCAGGTACTCGACCGCCTCTGATCCAGTCAACACAAGAAATCCCCGCATTGACTGGGTATGGGGTGAAACCCACAAAATGTTTGATGAGTATGGAAGAAAGGATAATTAAAAGAAAAAAAATAAAGTTTTAAATGTAATTGATGGCAACCAGACCGTAATTTCATCCTCTTATTTATCAATTTTATAATTTTGGGCGGGTAGTACCTATATTTTCACCATATTTTTTTATTGATGGTGGGTAGCTGATGGGGTGGGTATTACCCATGGGTGTCCGAGTACTGCGGGTATGGGGATGAGTGTGTAAAACCTTCCACCGCATGGGTATAAGGCAGGTACAGATTCGGGTATTTGGAAATGGAGATGAAGATGGTTGAGGCAAATCCACCACATTGTCCTCCCTATTTGATGGCGCCTTTCTCTCCTAGTGTTGCAAGAAACAGGATAAAGTTTCCAAACCATCCATTGAAGCAGAAACTCGTGTCATGTCAGATGTTGACTCGGAGATGGTTTGGCTTTCTCGTATGTGGCAGGATTTTGGTGGCACATTCTCTCCACCAATGGATATCTTTGTCGATAGTACTAGTGTCTTCCAGATTGCTCTTAATCGAGTGCTCCATGATCATACTAAGCATATTGAGATCCATGTGCATTACATTCGCGATCTTGTTCGCGATGACACTGTACGTTTGCAGTATGTGAAGCCCTGAGGACCATATTGATGATCTTTGAACTAAGTCTTCTGTACGATTCGTCTTCCAAATTGATGCGAAGTAACCCGCATCGATATGGGGGAGGCTGTTAGACTATTAGCTCTTATTTGAGCCCATGTAATTGTGTTGAATTTTGGTGGACATTGGTGTAAGCCCACTCGAGTCTTTGCATGACCATACAGACATGACCCTAGCCCATAGCCCATACGAAATTGGTGAGTGGGTTAGATTTAGGGTTTGTTGATGTGTAAATTTGATGATTGAGAGACTCGACAACATTGAGCTGAATAAGAGATTGATAATCGCTTTGCGCCATAAATTAGTTCCCGACCTTCGGTCATCAGCAATACCATATAAATATGGTATTTAAATACGATGTTGTTTATTTCCGTTTGATTTCTTAACATTTCCACCCAAAATTTCTCCTCCCTCTCCTTTCTCTTATTGGAGGAGTAAGTAAAAAGGGAAAGAACCAAGTTGAATAGATTAGGAACCTACGTTCGTCATCATGTTAGAAAAATTGAGGAAGCTTAACCTTAGACCTAGAAATTCACAGTGGAGATTCCTCAAAATGAATTTTACAGCAGAGAGAGTATATTGATCTAATTAGCTGGCGGCAGGATCCGCTTAAAACCAAAAACATATCTATCTCATCAATTAGTTGTTACCCTGATTATTAACAACAAAAGAAATCATGCTACGTGGTGCAGAAAAAGACAAGGGCTGAGTCCACGTCATCGACCCGACACGTCATCCGAATCCCCGCCAAAAATAGGGAGATGTTGCGGGCGGAGAAACCTTTGAATCCCCCCAACAACAGTGGCAAAATTACAAAAAGAGTTTTATCCCCTTCCCTTCCTGGGAGACGGACGACGATTTCTTATTCGCGTCGGATCATTAATAAAACGAATAAAACGAGTCAATTCGAATCGTCTGTTTCCATTTTAGTCAATTATAATTGCCACAAAATGAGTCAATTCGAAATTCGTCAAACAGAATTACTTTACCTAAATTTTGTGCTGCCAAACAGATCAATTTAACAAGATTGACTCAAAATTAGACAATATGACCAAATTGATATGTGATAATTTCTCATCCAAACGAACCTATTATTAATTATTTTTATATATATATATTTTTTTTTCTTGGGGAAATCTGTTTTGGTCCGTATGATACAAAGCAGGCAGGCAGGCGATGAAGGAAGGGTAGTACGGTGCACCCCAAAATGATTAACAAAATAATAATTAGCAATATTTTAATTATGGTTGGCCGGAAAATGCAAAGCGCGGAAGGGAATTGCAATACTGCAGGCTTCACCAAAAACCAACACAAAGACATGCAATTAGCATAGGTGACAACGTTGAGAATTAGTGAGAATAATCGCCCCGTATCCCTTAATCCCAAAGATTTAAGATAGACAAGAAAACAGAGAGTTAAACTACAGAATTAATGTGGGAACAAAAGGACAGGGAAACCTAGCTTGGAAAAGTCAAAACTAAGACAACGACCGAGTAATCATCATCATCTTCTTCTTTCTTCTTCTTCTTCCCCCCACTTCATTAGCTACCTCCATTTATCTCCTTCTTCTTCTTCTTCTTCTTCTCCATCTTCATCATCATCCATTCTATCGATTCGATCGTCTCCGACTCTCGATCCTTTTCTCCCTCTCCGCCTCCCCCCATTTCACTTCAAATCAGTTCCATCAACATGCTCATCTGTACATATTCAGACTACAAGAAGCAGAGGAAAAACAGAGTCTGAAACAGAGGAGCAATCTTCTCTCAATTTGTTTTCCCGAAAACAGCGCCGAATTTATCGGTATCCTTACAAGTTCTGCGCCCGAGTTTTTCCCGGTGGCGGATGGCGCGGCGTTTCTGTTCGGAGACGGCGGAGAGGGAGAGAGTTTTGTTTATCAACATATAGACAGCGCCGAGGCACCGCCTGAAACAAAACAAAAAAGTTGAGTTACGCCTCATCATCGATTCGAGTTCCTGATCTAGAGACGATCGCTGTCTTTGTCCGGCTACTACTTACGCCGCTGATTGCAAAATTGAAGCGGAAGATGATGCTCGGTACGAAACGAATGGCGGGAGGCGAACTGAAATTGGGGTACATGAGCTCCAACGATCATCATCGTCGTCGTCACGTTGCCACTCC